CTACGACGGCTTAGATGAAAAAACAGAATCTTAAAACATATTTTTGTTGTTTTGAGAAAAGTGTTTAATTTTTAGATTTTGTAAAAGGACAAGTCAAAAAAACGCCCATGTTACCAAACGCGTTTCTTTATTTTTGTTGAAGAAAAAAACAAAAACGGCAAAAACGCCACGACGACGGCTTAGATGAAAAAACAGAATCTTAAAACATATTTTTGTTGTTTTGAGAAAAGTGTTTAATTTTTAGATTTTGTAAAAGGACAAGTCAAAAAAACGCCCATGTTACCAAACGCGTTTCTTTATTTTTGTTGAAGAAAAAAACAAAAACGGCAAAAACGCCACGGTTGCCAAACGCCGAAATAAATAACAGACAAGTTGCACTTTAGTAGTAATTCTTTGGGTTTATACCAAGTGAAGATAGCCTTCTCTCTGTAGTAAATCTTTGGGGTACATATAAAAATGGATATTTTTTTCAAAAGAGACCCTTTTTGTTAAATAATTAGCAAAACCGACCGTTTTGCTAATTATTTAGCAAAAACGGTCATTTTTTGGCCGTTTTCGCAAAATGGGATCTCAGGACTATTAGTCCTGTATGTTTAGTGACCCCTAATTACCCACTGAACGATCTTAGAAAACCCACAGTATTACTAGTCCCGTGAGTTTTCTGAAAGGAATTCAAAATGCACGGGACTACTAGTCTCGTGCATTAAGCAGAGAAGTGGCTTTCTCCTCCCAACAAATCAACGGGACTACTAGTCCCGTGGATTTGCTGGGCACACCCCAAATATGCATAGAACATGCATAGGGCCATATCGCTTCATATATATTGTTTGGCGGACCTGTTTTGGCTACAAAAAATATAACATCAACTTCATATAATTGTTATACAATATAATATTTATACACTTATAATATTTAAGAAATAAACACTGGATAAAAAATTTAAGGAATCCACAACATCACAACACAATAGCTACTCAAATACATATCCATACGACAAAATATTCCAAACAAATTCAAATATATCAAGTCTACACATACGAAAAATTTAGTCTAAGCAAAAAAACTAATAATCTATCGCATGCAACCTAAAAGTCCGCCCCTCCCCCGTGGTCTCCCTTTTTCATACCCGCTTCAATCGTCGGCATCCTCCTTTGATTTGAGCTTTGTACGTGCTCACTCTTCGGTTGTGTGTGGGGCTGTGATGGACCAGCTTGCTGTGATGAACTAGCGTCATTGTCGTGTGAGAAAGATTCACCTCGCCTTCGTCGATGCAAATATACCCTCTCCTCATGTGCCATCTGCTCGCGACCATCATTTCGATCATCATGAGTTCGTTGAACAACTTTATGAATCCTCCCCACTATCCGCCGCAATACTGATACATGGACCGAATCTCCTCTGGTGGTATTTATGCCGTAATTTACAATCCCCTCTATCTCATCCATAGCGTCTATCTACAATCACGTAAAAAGATAATCTTATATAAATAAGTAACCAAAAGCTATTGGATTAAAAAATTTATTTAATCTATAAAACGCATTTTACTTACCCATTCTCTTTCATCTGCACCCTGTTATGTATCTTGCTTGTTGGGAATGTATCTCGATTTCGTCGACTGGAGGCGTGGTTTGAGTGATTATCTATCTTCTGGTAACCCCCAATATCATCTTATATAATATATTTCCTCCATCGGAGGATAAATCTGTTCGATGAAGCTCAAATACCGTTTATTCCATCTAGCAATGTAGTGATTATGCACAAGTGGCCAATCATTTTGGTGCCCACCCTTAGACGAATTTCCTTTTATTCTTTCTACAAATTATGGAGCGTGTTGTGCGAAACCAAACTGTCTAAGCACGTGATTCGGCACGTGCATCTCCATAATTTCAACGCAAAACGAGAGGAACTCTGGCTCTCCATATATCATATCCCCCTCCATGCAAATTAGTGGTAGACGAGGTAGAAAAGTTTAGTATATCTGCCACTCGAACTAAAAAATATTAATTATCATTAGTAACTAGCTTAAATTGACTTAAATTCAAAAATTTTGATGTCTGATAAAATTTTATCTAGTCAAGCTCTCGTAAAAATCTAACTGTCTTGTCGGGATCTCATCATATGCTTTAGTAATGTTCCATCTGCGTGTATGATAGAAGGTTAGATTCTAATTCTAAATTTAAAATTTAAATTTAAATTTTCTTTAATTAGATTCAAAATTCTGCTACCTAGTGGAATCTGTCGATCTAAAACTCGCGTCTTGCACAATCTTGGTCTCAAAACCAATCTCTCTCATGCCCAAACTTGTAACAATGTCAAGCACTCATTGAGCTCTTTATTTTGCATAAAAGCGACCTTAGACATTTCCCAATATAGGTATGTTAAAACAGCACTACCCCATGATAATGTCCTGCACCTGTCGAAGTCCCGAAGAAGCGTTAACCACCTATCACATGGCAAATACATTTAGTCGTATTTTATGAATAATGAGTAAATTTCTAGCAAAAAAGACAATGAAAATAGATTATATGAATAACAAGTTGTCTTACCTCAAATGTATTTTATGTTTACTTGAATCGGGGAAAAGAAGCACCCTGATCATATGCAAAATATATGCACGAGTATGTTGTTGGATCATGACCTGGATGCATCTTTTGGCAAGGGGTTTGCGAAATTTTCTTTTAGCCACTTCAATCCAATATATCCCTCGGGCAAGGACTCCGGAGATAGTCCTAACAACTCATCACAAATTCGGCACCACACATGTCTATTAGTCTCCGTAGCACAAGGACCATCAATGCGGAGACCAAGGATCACTGCTAAGTCTTGGAGAGTAATAATCATCTCGCCAACACATAGATAAAAAGTGTTAGTCTCTAGCCTCCATCTATCCATCAATGTATTAAGTAGTGCCCAATTGAGTTTCATCCACCGTAACTTTTGTTGGCCTTCTTATTTTGATGATGTTTAACAAACAATTTACCACTAATGTTGTTTGTCTAGTATTTGTGTTTTCTTATTTATTATAGACAAACAACATTGTTGGAGGATGGATGGAATAGAGCTTCAACGATCATATCCAAAGGAAGTTGGCAGAATGTCGGTGAAGCCTTGCTATTCAAAGTTCAAGATCCAAGTTAAAGCTTCCACTAGTGGAAATTAGGGTTTCCTTGACGGCAACATCGCTGACGGGGTATTCCCGTCAGCGTTGTTTTTATCACTGACGGGAAATCCCGTCGGCGATGTTCCCGTCAGCGTGTCTTCATTCCCGTCAGCGATGAAAATATCGCTGACGGGCTGTAAACATCGCTGACGGGAACCCCGTCAGCGATGTCTGCTTTATAAATCTCGCTGACGAAATATTTTTCCACAGATCGAAACCCTAATTTCTTCGCCGCCGCGCGCCCTCGTTCCCCTCTCTCAGCTCAGCCACTCGCCGCCGGCGAACACCGCACTCTCGCGGCCAGCCTAGCCCGCGCCATCACCTTCCCCTCCCCCTCTTCGACTCCACCATCCGTGGCCCCGATCAAGCTCACCGACGACCTTGGAGCTCGCCGCCGCACCGCCCCGTCGCCGACTCGAACAGTGGGCGCCTGAGCTCTCTCGTCTCCTCACCCGTCAGCAGCGTATGATTCCTTTGATTTTTTTTATTTTTTTTCTGATTTTAGGTTTTGTTGTTTTTACTAATTTGAGATCTGATTTCTTGGATTGCAGCGCAGGAGGTCTAAGTGAGTCTTACGTTTTGTTGGATTGCATTGCAGGAGATCCAAGCGGTAATTTTTGGTCATTGTCGCATTTTTGTGTATAGAATTATACATAATTAGTTGTAAAATGAATAATTAGTTGTAAAATGACCAAGCTGGCTGATATTTACAAATAGCTGTAATCTAGTTAAGTCTCATTTTATTTGTAAAGTTTAACATACAAACTTAAACAAAATTAAGCATATGTTGTAATAAAGTGGTTATATAGCATGACAGTTTTTAGTCTAAAGTGCAATCACTACTGAAATAATTTTTGTATGAAGTTCATCTCTAAATTGGTTCAGAGATAGCGCTATTCTGAGAGAAAAGTTCATGAAGAAAATAACGACATAAGTAACTTCGGTAACAGAATTTGACCTTGAATCAGAAATCGTTACCCCTAGTTTCCCGTCTAATATTGTTGGATGTGAGTCTCTTCTGATATAAACTCACGCAATTCTAGTTGAATGTGAAAATACTTTTTACATCTAAAGAGAATTACGTGATTTATGTTAGGAGTATGCTCTACATGCAATAATTATTAGATCTGTCCGGGGAGGAGTCCCCTTCTCGTATAGGTTAGGAATACAGTAGTGTATCATCTATCTTTATATACTTTATGCATTTTTATTCCTTAAAAATTTCGATAACACGTACCGCATTGTTCTCCGTGTACAATAAGCGTATGTTGTTTTGCGTATCGATCCATAATCGATCTATTATCTATCTTAATATCACTACATTGTATCTCAATTACCTTTTGGACGATATAAATATGTAATATCTTATTTTGTATATTCAGCTTGCAAATGCCTACAAACTTGATGTGAAATGAAAAATTTAGTAACGCAACAATACATATTGTTTTTATTTTCGCCAAGCCAATTTGCATCTATGTAATAATAATTTGTATGTTTATTCAACTTGCAGATGTCTAAAAATATTAACAGGAGGTTATTCGAAGCTAACCCCAGTCAAGACCAATCCACTGAGGAAGAGCCTCAGAGTTCAGGAGAGATGTCAGGTATAACTTGGTTTAACGAACGTATTTTTATTCATGATTTATGCACAATGATAATTTATTTCTTTTATTTTTATAGGTGAGGGTGAGGAAGAGCCGACTCACATGCCATTATATGTAGATCCTCCAGTTATACTTCGAGCATACATTCCTGAGATTGAGCGTGGGCCCTTACCAGCATGTGCAGAGGGGTACAGACTCAAGCAGACTGAAAAATACATGCTTGCGAAAAAAAGATTGGATGAATGGGCCCCTCAGATTGAGGAGATTTTGTCTGATGCAAAAAATGAAATCAGACAAAGATTTGGTGAGTTTGATCAAAAACTTAATCAATTCCAGAATTTTTCTTCTTCCTTTTTTAGTAAATTCTAAGAGCTTAAATAAAAGTGTTGATTAAATAAAAGTGTTGATATATCTATTATTTCTTTTTTGTAGGTGAAAAACTTTACCAGAAGAAAGGACGCCAAGGAAGTGACTTTAAAAAAAAGTTACCGACGGATGGTTTCCGAGCAATTGTGAGATGGGGACATAATGGGATTCCAACCGGACAATGGGCTAATAACTTCAGCTCATACCTTGGATGTTTGATACGGAGGAGTGATAATGTGAATCCCTATTACGAGGCTTGGGAGCAGCCATTTCATGTCCTGGAGAGTATATATCGAGATTGTTGGGTAAATTCTTATATTTATCACAATTATTTTTCAATTCTATCAATTGTCCATGCTTAACTATATTTTATTTTTTAGAGATATTTCAACATCGAAGACAATCCCGTAGGGTGGGAATTTTTATTTGGATACCAGGGAAAGTTCAAGCATTCTCTTCGGGAGTGGAGACATGAGATAAAGAAGAAATGCTTTGATTGTTTCACTCACAACTGGGAGAGGATATACAAGCTTTTGTTGGATTGCATTGCAGGAGATCCAAGCGGTAATTTTTGGTCATTGTCGCATTTTTGTGTATAGAATTATACATAATTAGTTGTAAAACGAATAATTAGTTGTAAAATGACCAAGCTGGCTGATATTTACAAATAGCTGTAATCTAGTTGAGTCTCATTTTATTTGTAAAGTTTAACATACAAACTTAAACAAAATTAAGCATATGCTGTAATAAAGTGGTTATATAGCATGACAGTTTTTAGTCTAAAGTGCAATCACTACTGAAATAATTTTTGTATGAAGTTCATCTCTAAATTGGTTCAGAGATAGCGCTATTCTGAGAGAAAAGTTCATGAAGAAAATAACGACATAAGTAACTTCGGTAACAGAATTTGACCTTACCTTAATTCCACCTTTCTGAGAGAAAAGTTCATTAAGAACAATAGTTATCAGAAAGTTACCACCTTAAGTTTGAACAATTATCAGATAACCTGCATCATATGATATAGTTGACCAGCTGCTAATTTACTCTCTAGGTCTTTATTCTTTTTTGGTTAATTTATTCTCTTGTGGGTAATTACAAGTTTTATTGTGTTATATATCATGATTTATGAATCGAAAGTCGTTACCCCTAGTTTCCCGTCTAATAATGTTGGATGTGAATCTCTTCTGATATAAACTCACGCAATTCTAGTTGGATGTGAAAATACTTTTTACATCTAAAGGGAATAATGTGATTTATGTTAGGAGCATGATATACATGCAATAATTATTAGATCTGTCCGGGGAGGAGTCCCCTTCTCGTATAGGTTAGGAATACAGTAGTGTATCATCTATCTTTATATACTTTATGCATTTTTATTCCTTAAAAATTTCGATAACACGTACCGCATTGTTCTCCGTGTACAATAAGCGTATGTTGTTTTGCGTATCGATCCATAATCGATCTATTATCGATGATTGATACGCATTATTTGTAAAATGAAAACTTTAATATCACTACGATGTATCTCAATTACCTTTTGGACGATATAAATATGTAATATCTTATTTTGTATATTCAGCTTGCAAATGCCTACAAACTTGATGTGAAATGAAAAATTTAGTAACGCAACAATACATATTGTTTTTATTTTCGCCAAGCCAATTTGCATCTATGTAATAATAATTTGTATGTTTATTCAACTTGCAAATGTCTAAAAATATTAACAGGAGGTTATTCGTAGCTAACCACAGTCAAGACCAATCCACTGAGGAAGAGCCTCAGAGTTCAGGAGAGATGTCAGGTATAACTTGGTTTAACGAACGTATTTTTATTCATGATATATGCACAATGATAATTTATTTCTTTTATTTTTATAGGTGAGGGTGAGGAAGAGCCGACTCACATGCTATTATTTTAGTAAATTCTAAGAGTTTAAGATTGATTAAATAAAAGTGTTGATATATCTATTATTTCTTTTTTGTAGGTGAAAAACTTTACCAGAAGAAAGGACGCCAAGGAAGTGACTTTAAAAAAAAGTTACCACCGGATGGTTTTCGAGCAATTGTGAGATGGGGACATAATGGGATTCCAACCGGACAGTGGGCTAATAACTTCAGCTCATACCTTGGATGTTTGATACGGAGGAGTGATAATGTGAATCCCTATTACGAGGCTTGGGAGCAGCCATTTCATGTCCTGGAGAGTATATATCGAGATTGTTGGGTAAATTCTTATATTTAGCACAATTATTTTTCAATTCTGTCAATTGTCCATGCTTAACTATATTTTATTTTTTAGAGATATTTCAACATCGAAGACAATCCCGTAGGGTGGGAATTTTTATTTGGATACCAGGGAAAGTTCAAGCATTCTCTTCGGGAGTGGAGACATGAGATAAAGAAGAAATGCTTTGATTGTTTCACTCACAACTGGGAGAGGATATACAAGCGAGATAAGAGGGTTGAGCCTGAGCACTTAGCTGCACTTATAATATTGTGGGGCCAAGAGGAGCACCAGGTAAATATGTATAGTAGTTAATTATCATCAAGTTATTTATCTGAAACTAGTGATATATTCCATTGTATATTATACCATGCACTAAAATTCTCTTTGTTCACGTTGAAGGAAAAATGTAGGAGAAATAAACTTAATCGATGGGAAAAAGATTATGATCATCATACGGGGACTACTTCATTTGCCCAGATTGAGGATCAATTTTGTAGGACAACGGTATAAAGTCTTTTAATCTTCTATGTATATTCTCTCCGCTTCTTAGAATATTTGATAAATAAAACTAATAAATATATTGTTAAATCTCAGAACGCTCCCTTTATCCCACTACCAGAACTGCACAGGAGAACGATGGTTCAATTTAAGAAGGGGTACAATGACGATGAGACTAAGAAACAAAAGCTAGAATTGGCGAAGAAAATGCAGGTTAACTAATTATCTTAGCTCTTATTAGCCTGTTATCATGTTGGGAATTTATTGTTTGCACTCTTCTTTTATTCATCTTAATTATCATACATGAATTATATGTGTGAAATGACCCATTCGTATGAGGGGCTTGCTTGTTAGGATATAACAATGCATAAGAAATAACATATTGTAACATGATTGATCTACTTGGTTTTATTCTCGAAAACCTTTGAATTGCTAATGACAAAACTTTTCCTATCACCAAACAAGCCAAAGCACCCTTCAACTATTTATTAGCACTTAACACCCTTCTTCACATGTACTTTTATGTTGCACAAAACACCCTTTACATGTACTTTTATTTTACTTGTTTAGGTAAATATCTTTTATTTTTGAAAGGCTAAATCTTAAATTTATTTTTTGGAATTCTAGGAAGCTCTGGAAAACACGTATTCTGAGGTTGTTGCACAGAGCCAAGAGCCCCTGACTAGAGAGCAGAATTATAATGTGAGCCATCTAGTTTGTGGACTTCCTAAAAAAGGGAGGACCAGGTGGATGGGAGTTGGAGCTCAGAGGGTGTCTACACAATTCCAGCCTCCGCCGATTTCCACACCCTCGACTATGCCATCGGGGCTCTCTTACATGCCGCAGGAGGATTGCACTCAGCAGGCGATGCATCTTGTTTCCTCTGTGATGAGTATGTTAGATGGTCAGATTCCCGAGGAGATGTGGGAGGATATTCAAGAGCTCGACTATGCCATCGGGGCCCTCTTACATGCCGCAGGAGGATTGCACTCAGCAGGCGATGCAGCTTGTTTCCTCTGTGATGAGTATGTTAGATGGTCAGATTCCCGAGGAGATGTGGGAGGATATTCAAGAGGAGCTTATGCGAGTGATCCAGCCTACTGCTACTTTTGCGATGGTTTCTAGGCAAATAATGAAATCTTGTAGAAGGCGGGTTCCTACTCGGGTGCAAAGCCAGATTATGAACTTCTTGGCCACTCAAAAGGCATTTACTGGTAGTGGAGAGAGTAGCAGACAGGTATACTTATTATATATGTAAAACATGATTACACACAATATTATGTGATTCTAAATTTAAATTATTTTGTTGTTAGATTGGAGATGATACTATTGGGAGCACGAGTCGTAGGGATGGATCCGCCAGTGGAAACGCAGACGATGACATGGATAGAGCGGATGACCTATCATAGTGAGTTATATATATTATGATACTCGTGTTTGTATATTGTGGATTTAGAACTTATGATACTCATGTGTATTGTTTGTTGTGAAAATTATTATTGTGGATTGTTTGTTGTGATACTCGTGTGTATTGTTTGTTGTGAAAATTATTATTGTGGATTTGGAACTTATCGTGAAAAGTGAATGTATATATTTCGATTGTTTGTGAAAATTGATTGGATGAGAGGTTTATTTGGGAAAATTTGGATTGTATTCATTGCGAGATGTTTTGGAATGCGTGTGAAATGTCGTTTGGAGATTTGTATGTACAGGGAATATATATATATATATATGTACAGGGAACTGATTTGTATATCAGCAGATTTTTTTTTGCTGCTGATACTTATCGCTGACGGGCTACTGGAGATTTGTATGTACAGGGAATATATATATGTACAGGGAACTGATTTGTATATCAACAGATTTTTTTTTGCTGCTGATACTTATCGCTGACGGGTCCTGAACCATCATAGTTATGTTACATCCACAACTGATTTTACTCTTGGTTCCAGGTTCCCAGTGACCAAAAGCTGCCATCTCTTTATCTTCTTGACAGTATCGTGTTTGTATATTGTGGATTTAGAATCTATGATATGTGTATTGTTTGTTGTGAAATTTATTATTATGGATTCGAGAATCCCGTCAGCGATGTTTCTCTATCGCTGACGGGCTTTGCCGTCACCACTTATGCCGTCAGTAATATGTATTACTGATGGCCCCCCGTCAGCGATAGTTCTTCCCTGACGGGACTATCGCTGATGGTGTATCCTTGACGGGGCGCTGTCAAGGATATGTATTTCCGACGGGCATTTGGGCATCGCTGACGGGAATGCCCGTCAGCGATACCTGATTTTCCACTAGTGAGCCTTGTGTGAACCCTGGGGCGTCACAGTTGGTATCAGAGCTCTAGTTCCAATATCCTTAGGATCATCCCTGTGTCATATTATGGAGTTAGGATGAAGTTTACTAGGGATCATGTATACAGTTCGCTAGGAATCCTTAGTATGAGTGAGGACGTACTATATATGTACGTGGAAAATCTAATT